CGTTGCTTATACCCCTCTACTCATGGGGAGCTTCTACGAAGCTCTTGAATGTCCACGGCTGGGCACATTGACGTTTGTACCCAGCTCTCAAGACACCCCATGGTTATACGCCCGCGATGATCCTCTCCAGATCGTCTTCCACTCATATACATATCTTACCGACGCGGATACCTTCATCTTCAGAAATCGCTCCATCGCCAATTTGACAGTTCTGGAAATCAGCCACGCTATATTTTACTCGGCATTTTTTGAAGGCCTGTTGGACCATCAATTGTCTTCGCGAACACTAGAAAAAATCCTTCTCACGTCTTCCTACCCTAGTTCATATTCCGCGACGAAATCGTTCAGCATATATGTCCGGTCTATCATCACGGCTGTGGATGGAGACTCTCTCCCTGGCAAAGTGCTGCAGAAGGTATCCGTCAAGTGCTTGAAACGACGGTTGGACGTCGGGTCGATCAGATTATTCAAACGACTACGACGTGACTTCCCGGCGATTGTTGAATTGGACCTTCAACGTATGTAACTACTCGTTCCTCTGAATTCCACTTTCGATTTATCGTGCTGATATCATCTAATAAGATGCTGATCAATTCTTTGAGGCGTAAATCGATCTTTGCGCTTCGATTGGGAGAATTGACTATTCGATGTCATGGGGATGCAATATTCCCTTCCTACGCCACACTGATTCGAACCAGAGAACTTCCAACATTTACCCGATTTACACAGCGCTGAGGGCTGGACTTCCGATCTCAGAATACCCATGGAAAAATCTTTGATAAATAGCAACATCCAAACGTAATGTTTTTCACGGGCGCTGGAGGGAAAAAAAACGTTTCGAAGCGTCATTCTGGGATCGAAAATTCAATCCTAATGTGTTATTGGTAGTGAAGATGATGGTCATAGGATAAGGTGGACTCGGACACTGACGAAAACATTTATTTATGCCATCATATAATGCATCTCATGTCTCATGACGGGAACACACGGAACACATAGATGGGCTGGGTAGACCAAACAGATCTAGTTGCGCTACGTTTTTGGTATTCTTCCAAAGCCATCAAGTGTCCCTACTGTCATAAGTCGATGTAGAATATTAATGTAACCTTTTTCAATATTAATTGGGGGTTCCTACACCTCTCCATTAAATTGAATTTTAAATAAGTTGAAACATCGATTTAGTACTGACCCTTCCCCAATGAGCTCAATTTTTTCTTTTTCAGATTTAGCCATTAGCAACAGGAGCGACCGGTAGCCCGAGCACGTCCCTGATCGACTTTCTCCTACACAATCTAACCTTTTTCGACGCCTGGTAAAAGCTACAGAAGCTGGTTTGTATTTTCCAACCATGATAGATAGAATTGAAACTGTTGGAGGCTATTACATCGCTGTGAGCGGGCAAAGAATGCCAGTGGGATACTTCAGCTCTGTACCTCCGTGACTGCCAACCTTATATCTCGATCCACACCCTCTCAAAGCTCTGCCATAATATTTCTGGCAGTCACGTTCAATGTTTTTCTGGTAGAGTGGTTTTTGGTTTATGTTTCCAGATCATGACTATGTGTAACCCGACACCGTCTCAGAGAGCCCCAAACCCCCCGCACCGTTAACCGACTTTAAATCAATTAAGGATCAGATGAGTGATTGGTGAGGTTTATATCTACACAGCCTCTGGAATGGATCCACAAATCTGTCGGATCCGGGACTCCTTCTGGTAATTATTCTAACAGCCACCCACAAAAACGGGGAGATATGCATCCGGATTGAATTTCACATAGTGGGTGGTGATCCAATAAATGTTTCTATTGTTTGACTTCAACAATGGTATTTATAATTTATTCGACAACATCCATTTGTGGGAAGTCGTCGCATTATGATAGATGCTGTTTCAAAATCGTATCTTGAAAGAGTTAGAACGGTGATAATGGACATTCACGTCCGGGTGCCGGAGTGTACAATGATTACATGACTCATCCGCTTCATTCAATATTGGTAGATTCGAACACTGGTTTTTCAAATACCACGAGGTATGTCATTCATCATCAAATAGTTAAATCATGCAAATAGCGGTTGACGATCCATGTGAATTACTTCATCTGTGAACGGTATTGTTGTATGGAATGAACTTCAAATTAATCAAGGCACATGCATAGAGTTCGTGTTCACCGCCCAATGTCAAAGTTTTTGGTCTCGCTGATGTATATTTATAGATGTGATCATACACATCATCCGGAGGAGGTCCCTCATTCTAGGAAGCTCCTGGACGTTGTAGAGCGTCTGGAGCATCTCCAAAATTCAGCGCTTAGTACCATTTTACTGATCCATGCCCTAACTATAATTTATAAATTTGCACGAACGGAAGGACTTCCTTCCCATCGTATGTTTTCCTCCTCTGTGTTTTTCTTGTGACATAGGAGACAACGTTTTCGAACTTGAACAAATTCTGGTCGATATCCAATCTTTCAAGGCGGCAATCATGGGTTTTGATGAAGTTCCGTTGAGTGGCGCCGATGCTTTATAATGCCTTAGTATTAGAAGCGGTGATTACAAAAATGTTATTTAACATCTTGTGAAGTATGTAGCCGTATAAAAGGCGTAAAACAACCAAGCCACTTACTAGGCCAACAAGCTCCAATAAACCACAATTCTACTCTATCGCGATGGTATTCTTCAGGCCTTACTTAATAATGGCTGCTATTTTGACAATGGCTATACGTGCGACTGCCGCACCTTCTTCACTTCATGGGTCTTCCAAGGCTCCCATAGTGGATTTGGGATACTCAATCTATCGAGGAACATCGCAGAGGAACGGTCAAAACCAATTCCTAGGAATTCGCTTTGCTGAGCCGCCTCTTGGTAACCTAAGGTTTCGCAAACCACGACTGCCCTTTAAGATGGAAGGTATTCAAGACGCAAATGCATTCGGACCTATCTGTATTGGCGTAGGTAGCGAACTTGCTAACGAGGAAAATGAAGATTGTCTTTTCCTGAATATTTGGGCGCCGTCTAATGCCACCCGTTCTTCAAAACTTCCCGTATTTTTTTGGATCCAAGGAGGAGGTTATAACTCCGATGCCAACGCGAATGTGGGCGGCGCAGTTCAAGTTCGTTATGTCATAACATTAACAACATACCTACATGATAGTATAACGGTTCTCAACTCGTTCAGTCCACGGGGAATCAAATGGTATTCGTAAATATAAACTATCGTGTAGGACCGTTCGGTTTTTTATCAAGCGAAAGGCTCCATGGAAATGGCGATTTAAATGTAGGGCTCTTAGATCAGCGTTTTGCAATGGAATGGGTTCAAAGACATATAACAGCGGTGTGTACACGATAAATTTCAATCATTCCAGCCTTCTGAAACCAACTTTTAGTTCGGGGGTGACCCCGATCATGTAGTTCTCGTTGGCGACAGTTCGGGCGCGGGAAGCATCGGCTTGCATCTGTTGGCATACAATGCCACACCGACACGTCTCTTTTCAGCCGTATTTGGCATGTCGCCGTTCTTCCCCCCACAACCCCGCACGTCAGAACTGGAATGGCAGTTCGATCTATTCGCTTCGCGTGCAGGATGTGCAACAGCTCAGGATCCGTTGCAATGCCTACGGGGTCTCAACAGCAGTGCATTACAAACCGCAAACGTCGGAATGACCTTCCCCAATAAAACTGGAGATACGCTGTGGCCATTTACTCCCTGCATAGATGGTGAATTGCTGGTGGATTTCCCCTATCGAATGTTTGAAGAGGGACGATTCATCAAAGTTCCCGCCGTATTTGGGTAATGATTTTGGGATATCCTTTTTTGTAACTTTTTCCTGACTTTGCCTACTCTGACTGCCTAGTGACGATACCGATGATGGTACTATTTTCGCGTCAAACGCGACATCTCCTGCGGATATGACCTCATTTTTAATGGACAATTATCCAAACCTGACGGAAGCCGATACTGATGCAATCATTGCTCTCTACCCTGAGGGAGCCCCAATAGCGCAGCATGCTGCATTCTTTCCTTCCCTAGCAGCTGCATATGGAGAAACTGCGTTCATATGTCCCGGTCTAGAAATCGTGTCTGCTATGGCTAAACACGCCCCCTCGTGGAATTATCGGTCAGTAAAACCAGGAGGTTTGAAATAGTTCAGAGATTTTGTTGACTTTCCCCCAAGGTATAATGTATTAACTCCCATGAAAATCGCCAATGGGCTTGGTGTCTCACATGTAAGCGAAATACCTAACCTTTTTGGTCCAGGAAATACACCCGCCGGATCCAGTACCGCCGACTTCGACCTCGATAATATTTCCCTCACGCCAATCCTTCAGGCCTATTATACTAATTTTGTCCGATTTTTCGACCCTAACGCACAGCCTGTGAATGGGAGCGTCTTCTGGCCAGAGTTTGACAGTAATTCAAACCTCCGGCTCTTATTACAGGTGAATGCAACGACCGTTGAAAAGGTGCCGAGCGCACAGTTGTCAAGATGTAACTTCTGGAAGAATATCGCTATAAATCTGGAGCAATGAGCGCCATTGTTGGATGCATATTAATAAATATTGGACAGATTGGTGCAAAGGGAGAACTATCTTATTTCATGTCATGTGTAGACCGTACGATGTACCAGGACCGGTTTCCCTGAAAAGTATACACCGTTCTCAACTGGAACCTAGGGGGAGCCGGGAGGATGAAAAGCATCGAACCATCATATCGGGAGTCCAAATCTGGGTGAAAATTACTGACACAATGGTTGTTGGCCATGTAACATGCACACCGATGGGATTTGCTAGCTCCGTTTCCACGGCCTAAAAAACCGGAGAAAATCACACAAGGCAGTTAGTACACTCAAAAGTGACAATACAACATCACATTGTCTGTAAGCCAAACAAGTCAATCAACCCAAGCTCGAAAATGCCAGTAGGTCCAAGTGAGGGTCTTTAGATGACAGGGTCAGGTGTCATCATCTGGTCAAAGGTGTGTAAGAATTACATAATAGGGTGAAAAGTATTGACCTGAGCTGGACTTGAACCAGCAACCACTATGTCTGGATTACATGTCTGGATTACATGTCTAGTGCTCTTAACCCCTGAGCTAAGGCCATGAAGAGTAGTTCTATTAGGAACCAGTCACTACTGAGATGGTTAGTCATCAGTAAGATATTAGTTTATCCAAGTCAACCATTGCTCATTCAACAAGGTGAAGCCCATGGAAGCTGACTAGGTGCACTGCACCATAGCAGGACTAGTATAGAGTATCATTCAATCCCTAGCCTGTCGGGAGCCAATGTCCAGCCGAGCGGCAAGAAGGAACCCACAACTTTTCTCACACCCATCATACTAACAATCATTTGTTTTCCTTTTATGGAACACCTTCATCAATTTTCAGCTAATTAACAGCCGCTGCCATGATGTCCAGAACTCACAAGCAGTATATGAGCACTTGGGCCCAAACTTGAGCAACGAAGGATGTTCAACGGTAGCCAATGCATAGAAGGGAGGAGCCCAGAAGGGTGTTAAGAACTGGAAACTGACTAATGTCGGTGGCCAACAGGGACCGATCGGAAGGACTTGGCTTCAGCTTATGTGCTGCGCCCTCGCAAATCCGTAGGTTGTCCTTAAATTTCGGGCGGGCGAAGACCAATCCTAGCGAGTACCTTTCGGCGTGATACCGATCGGAATCGAAGGACAAGTCGAGCGTCGGGCCAAGGGGTCGGGGCCGGAAGTGGGCGAGCGCACGCGAAGGCAGATGGGGGGATTCTGAGTATGAGACTGATACAGGCGTATGAGGGTATTCTGAGTCGATATTCTGATTGCCTAGTAACTACAACTACAGCGGGTTCATATACAAGTAACAGGCGTCTGGAAAATACTAATGGGGAGAAGGGCGGAACACGGTATTAACAATAAGCTTGACTAGGAACGGGAAGTTTATGATTAGTTCGGAGGCCGATGATAACCGAGAGCGGGATTACGATAAAAGGAAATAGTTCAAGGACTACAAATATAGATAGACATATGCGGAACATAAGATTGAACGGATCAACATAATAAAGGGGACGTATCAAAGTTTGACCAGACAATACAAGTTGTTTTGACGTGGGCGTAAACGGAGTTTGATCTTCGTGAAAACATTCGTCAGCTTCGGGGCCGATGGTTTCCGAGAGGGTGACTTGTCGTTGACAAGTGGCAATAACCTCGGGACTGATAGGGTTGCGACACGGTCGTAACAAAGGGCTAGTGGGCCTAGAGCTCACTTCCTGGCTGCCAGCTAACCAGATACAGATACACGGCCATGGGAACTAGTGGCTCCATACTGGAGATAGCAGTGTTAAATGCCCAAATTACCTTCCTAACAATGCAGAGGAATCAATTGTCTGGCAATGATAATGCGAGGGGGTCCAGTGTTGGGGACAACCTGACCTCACTACTGCATGAGTTGCACCTATTCATACACCTCAAAGCCATGGAGAACACCAGGATTGCAGCAGCAGCAGTGAATTCCAAATAAGGGTGTCGGGAGACTAGTGATTCCTGAGATCATACCTGACTTCAAAGCTGACACTTTCAATGACATTATCCTCCCAAGCTCACACTAGCCAATACACACCATGGTACCCATCTCCTTCACACTGGAATGGCTGACAATGCAGTGCAAGTCACTAAACCACTACAGGAGATAATCAATCAATCAATCTCTACCAAAACTGTGGGGTGACACTTGAAGAAAGCTGGTTTGAAATCAGTAGTAAAGTGCAAATGACCACTTCTCAGCCAATGCCATGAAGGAAAGACTAGATTGGGGAATTAGTTATCAAGTCTGAACTGTAAAATATTGGAAGATAGTTGTCTGGTCAGATGAGACTAAGCTTAGGCAGATGGAAGAAAATGGGTGTGGAAATTGCCAGAGAAGCATTGAATGATAGGCTAGTAGAAGGGACACTCAAATTTGGAGGTGATTCTCTGATGATGTGGGGCTGCATGAGATGGGATGGTGTTGGATATTCATGCAAGATTGATGGAAGGATGGATGCTAAACTGTATTTTCAGATTCTGGAAGATGATCTTCAAGCCGGCCTTCGATATGAGGACAAATCTCCAGAGGACATTATATTTCAGCAATGACATTATATTTCAGCAAAATAATGACCCCAAGTATAAGAGCAAGAAAGCCAAAACATGGTTTGCTGACAATGAGTTAAGGTTATGTCATGGCCAGCACAGTCTGCAGACCTTAATTCCATTGAACACTTATGGCATCAGCTCAAAAAGATACTTGGAGAATATCAACAGCCACCCAATGGGATACTGGAATTGTGGGAATATGTGCAAAGGGAATGGGATAGGATAAAGCCAGATGTGTGTCAGAATTTGATTGAAAGTATGCCTAGAAGAGTGGCAGGTGTGATAAAGGCCAAAGGAGGTTACACAAAGTATTGATACATAGGAGTCTATATGTTTTAGAATGTCAGTGATAATGTGAAGATCCATTCCTGGAGACTCCATGGAGTATTTCCTAGATACCATATCAGGTTCTGAACCATCTTCTGGAGTAGTATCAAGATCCAGAATCCACTGGAACCTGACCCTCATCCCTCAAGTACCCTTCAACTCAAATCCTGTTCTGGTATTCTGCCCTTGACTAGACACCTCCTGTTATGACCTAGAACTCATTGGACTCCACCTTTCCCAGCTAGCATCTCTGAGTGTCCTTGGTCATTTCCCAACCCAGACTCTGGCTGGACTCCCTGCATTTGTTCTATATACATCTTTAATCCATGACCCAACCTTCACTTGATCATCCCTGTCAACTATTGAGATCTAAGCAAAATAGAGGAGGAGGACTCTAAGTTGGGAGGCCAATGATATGAAATGAGCTATGTAATCAGGGGGCCAATGATAGAGATTGTACTAGTTGGGAGGTCTAACTCTATAAATGTAGTGGAGCTTGGCTTCAACTTATATATTGCACCCTCACACAAACTGTTAGGGTGCTCCAGTATTTCAAACAGAGTGGATAGTATGATAAAAATGAAGATCAACACTTAGCTCAATTGACTGGGGGGCTGAAATACTAAGAGTGTAAGGTAAGAGTTTACAGCTTGCCAAAGAGTGTTTTCAAGAGTATTGAGAAGGGAGGAAAGAGACTGAGAACTAGTAGATAATCTAAGTTGATTTTTTAACTGAAAAATTGTAGCATACATGAAGAATCTTTTATACTACAATGAGACAGATGCCTGGAGGGCCGATCAAGGAAGCAAAGGGTGAAACAGATCATGAGAAATTGATGACAAGGTGGGGAGACTAAATTTAAGGTACTAAACAATACTAAAAAGGTCTGAGGTGGGAAGTGAGATGTATACAGGGAGACTGTGATAGGGGACTGAATGGGACAGAGATGGAATGGAAGGCTAAAAAGGGTCAAAACTATAACAGAGACAAGTGTTGGGGTGGTGATACCATGGACAGAGGTTCTGACAGTGAGACAACAAAGGGTATTGAGTCCAAAACAGGTTTCAGGGGTCCAAAATGATGGGGAACCTAACATCAATCCTTGTCAATTCTCTATGCCAATGTTCTGACCTGCCCAGAACCCATGGTCTTCCCAGAAATATGCACATTTAATCATTATAATGTTAGGATCCATTTCCAGATAGTAGTGGATATCTGTGGATATTCTGACTCCCTTCCTTTGTTCCAAATTTGGTAACTGACTGGTTGTCAGATGTTCATTCATTTGTTTATTGTTCTTGCTCTTATTCCCTGATCTGTCCCCATCCTTGTTCCTCATTTATCTGACTTGCTATTGTATGCTTAGTTTGGAAACATTTCCAAATAGGTTTTATTATCCTCCCAGACTTGTAGTATAATTATTGGAACATCCTTCCATAGTCATGTACTTACTCCTCAGTTTCAATCTCAAATTAGTTTGTATCTTGAATTAGTCTTGATCTAATCTGCTCCTTTGTTCTTTCTGTACACTCAATATCTGGAACTCTGAGCATCTGTAAACACTCTGGCATATATCTGCCCTCTGAAATATGGACACCCAAGTGCATGCATGAGGGCACAACACATAAGCTGAAGCCAAGTCCATCCTGTACTCCAGTAATATTCTGATATTCTCCAAAAGCACCCCTTGCTCAACCCCTCCCCTGACAGGTCACGTGACTTGATCCAACACGTGAATATCTTATCTATTGTATGTTATCTATGTTTAAATTTACTGACTCGCCACTATGCTCCATCAATGCTATTATTGGCAACAACATGATGGGTGAGTATCTTGTCTATTGTATATTATCTATGTTTAAATTTACTGACTCACCACTATGCTCCATCAACGCTATTATTGGCAATGACATGACGGGTGAGTATCGTATCTATTGTATATTATCTATGTTTAAATTTACTAACTCGCCACTATGCTCCATCAAAGCTATTATTGGCAATGACATGAGATATGACAAGATAGGAAATCATGTGCCTCGTTCTGATGGTTGAGGCTGCGAGCGATAGAACATTGCATTCACAGTTGACTTCTCCCATGTTGTAGGAGATCCTATCCTGCTCGAGTTCAGCTGTTTTTCCTGAGTGATGCAGTTTTCAGCCAGCCTAAGAAACCGGGCACCTTCTCTCTCCAATACCTTCAAGAATCGGTGGTCTCCAAACTGGGTCTGGTACTCCAAGCCGTCACAGAAGGCACGAATCAATTTGACATGTGAGCACATCTTTTCAGCAAAAGTGTCTCTTGTTGTAATGTGCCCATTAGCTTCCATGTCAACCAACCCACCATTCTCCTCATCCTCATCCTCTCCACCCAGGTTCTCGTTATCACTATCATCAGTCACATTGCCAGTCTGTTGTGCCACAGTTAGGGCATGTATTGGCTGTATTGGGTGCCTCCCATGTACTTCATCCACCGGAACCAATGAAGGATGGGTCCAAAATGGTGCAGTTCGGTTTCGTGTAACTTCTAGGAAGAAGACTGGATGGACAGGATGGAAAGATTGTACGAGGTGCTTGCAAATGAGAAAGCGGCTGATGACGAACTGTGGGCAGGTGCAGATAAAGCAATGTGGATTTGGTTGGTATTTTCTGTT